TGAACTGCTAGCACCGTAGCTGCTGGTATTGGATGAAAAAGTGTTATTGCTGAAAAGCAATAACTATGAGATTACTTTTTGTTTGGATTTAAGTACATGTATCCAGATTTGCAGACCCGATTTCTCTTAGACAGTCGTTCATGAAGGCATCTCTTTCTGTAGGAGATAGCCTTTAGGTACTTTACTATATGTAATTAATCAGACATATAAATTTGTGATGAATGCTTTATTCATTTATCTGTTTTGGTTTTGAAACTAAAATTTCATATCTAAATAAATATACATTTTTAATTTTTTCCATTAATTAAAATGTTAAGCATTTATAAGAAACATTTTATTTACAAATCTTTGTATCTTTAGTTATAATTAGTATATCTAAAACAATAAATAAATGCATTCTAGTTTCCTCATACTTTGGTCTAATTTAAAAGGGATGATATTCTAGTTCACGTTTGAACAATTAACAAATTTTCAAAAAAACATTAAAATTGTGATGTGGATTTTTTAAGTGATATTCAGCATTAATGATACATGATAAATGAAGATATCTAGTATGTTAACTTTTTACAATTTTTAATAGTACTGTTTCATTATTCCTCTCTTCTTCTACACCTGTACTCATCTCCTATCTCTTTTTGCCTATGGTTACCTTCTGGAACTCCACAGATACAATTTATGCTGTCCCTTAATCTATTTATTTCCTACACTAATTCTTTAAAAGTAACATACAGTGGTAACCAAAATTTATTTAAATATGTATATTATGTTTATATGTAGCATTATCTATTTTGTACTTATTTTACTTTTAAACGATCAGTTTAATGTCATTTCAAAAGGCATCTTTTCATAGATGGACATCATATTGATATTTAGTTTTCTTAATAAGGTGGTGCTTATAAACTTTTGTGTTTAGCTTTCTTTACTAAACAAGAGCATTTTATAAACATAAAACATTTGCTTCTACACTAACACTTTTGTTTGCTTTACTGTCTCTTTCTTCCTCTGCGCCAATACTCTTTTCCCATAATCTGTCTGTCGTTTTCTCTTTCTCCCTCTCTGTAGTTACTCTTTTACCGTAGAAACCCACAGATGCAACTTGTGCTGCCCTCTGTTCTTTATATTTTCTGTAATATTTCTCTAAAACAAAAATGGTGATAAAAAATATTTATTCAAATATATAATATATTATGCTTATATATAGCATAGTCTATTTTATATTTACTTTATTTTTAGATGATCAACATAGTAACATTTCAAAGAGCATCTTTTCATAGGTGGACTTCTAGTTGCTGCAGCTCATTTTGGTGGTTATGTATTTGGAACTGATATTGACTATCTTATGCTTCATGGGAAAGGTAATTTTTTATTTGTTTGTTTACAATTTAACTTTTCTATAAAAATTTGATTTGCCCTTCCAACAAATTAATTTTCGTTTAAGATTTTGTGTTCCTTCGTGTACTATGAAAATATGCCATCATTAAAATTTTAACTTTGAAACAATGAAAAAGTGCTAATTTTTATTTTATTGTGTTACCTGTCCTGCTTAAGAAATAATTATCTTACAGCGAATTCAAGAAATGAGTTTTTTAATACATATGAATCATGTTCTTAATAGTGTTCTATCCTTGAACTTATGCTCTTATTTCTAATAGCTCATGCTCTTCTTTTCTTCTCTTTGTTGTGCTCTTCTTTTTTGCTTTTGCCCTATTTTTTCATCCAAAACACTTTGTATGCTTTTTCAGGTATCATTTACTCACAGATCATATTTTTTTTCCCATTTTATATTTCATTAATCCTGTTAGGTCTAACAGATTGCATTTAAGGAAAAATGAGTTGGTAAGATAGGGCATATGTATGAAAACATCAATTCAAACTCAGCAGATGTAAACTACATGACTGCTTGTAAAGTTTTCGTTTGAATATAGAAATTCGGCTGTTAACTGTGTAAAATGTGACATTTTTTTCTGGTAATATGTTAAACACTTTCATGATAAAAAATGCATTTATAATAGGTTTAAATTTTATAACTTTCAAGATATAGAATTGAAATTCTACAATTTTGAAACGCCTGGGTAGATTTTTTTAAAATTTTTATTTTTATTTTTGAAACCATTAAAATTTGTAGTTTCAGAATAGAACTAAAAATATTCATGAATATTGTACCGTATCTCAGAAAGAAGTTTTTATTTGAAAAGTTGATAAGCATAGTTTCTGTTATTTATCAAAAAACGGTATATTTTAAAACATGTTTACACATGCATGCACACACACAAACATATATATGTAATAATTTAGAATGTGGGAAATGACATATAATTTTTAATCATGGTCAATGGTTGTAGATGGTGCTGGCATTTAGAATGCATAATTAGTTCTAGTAGAATGATGAAACTTGCAGACAAACAAAGCTGTAGATTCACACAATTTATTTCTGGACAAAATAATTATTGAGATGTATATTCTGATTCACACATCACCGTGGGCACAATCTGCAACTAATATCATGTTTTTGGATGTTTATTACATTTCAAGGCAATTGATGATACAGAGAAATAAGTCAAATGTGTTAATTGGAAGCAAGCAAGCTGAAAAGTGAAGAAAGCTTGGTAGAGCATAAAAAGGTTTTGGTTTTCAAAAAGTTTTAATTTCAATTTAAATCTTATTCACTGATTGACTAAAATGTACCTGTATTGCAGCATTATGTAAAATCATATGATATAGATTTATTTTTAAAACATGAAGGGGGAATATCGTAATTAAAATGAAGAATAAAAGAGGCTGTTGTTAAATAAAAATAAAAGTTTGCTTTTGAATTTTTATCTTTCTTAGTATATATGTGTGATATATGTACATGTGAGTTGTGGGAAAGAAAAAAAAATATGTACAGCAAACTACTAATTTCAATTGGCAATAGTCCCTTTTATTTATCACTTTAATTTGGACATTCCCCTTTCTGCCCTAAAAATCATAGCTATTTGTAATATAACAATCTAAACTGCATCATTTCAAAATTGATCCATATCATATGACTTCTACATAGTGATTAAGACAAACACGCCGAACAAATTCTATCCTTGAACTTATGCTCTTATTAGAAAGCTTGGTAGAGCATAAAAAGATGAACTATTTATTGCTTAGTTAATTTAGTTTGATTTTCTGCATTGTTTATCATGACTTCTGATTCTACATAGTGCTCTGATGAAAATTACTTACTGTGCCTTTTTATTCATAGTTGGTATATTTTTTGTTAATTCAACATAAGTTATATGCATAGAATTGCACCGTGCTGTTAGAGAATTTTTACACTGGTATTCATAGATTTGTAAAATACATATTTTTAAGACAGTTGGTAGTCAGAGGTGAGTTGCAATAGTGAAGCAGAGTGGAAAAGAAACACATTCAAAAAAAAAAAAAAAAATTGAGTGTTAAAAAGTTTCAGTTCTTAACAGAAATCCTATTCAGTCATTAGATTAAAGTTATCTGCATTGTTGCATTATGTGAGAACTTATACAGATTTTTGAAATGACACAGTTTAAATTGATATAGTATAAATAGTTGTTATTTTTAGGGCTGTGAAGTATCCAAATTAAAATGAAGAATAAAAGGGACCAATTAAAACTAGAAGTTTGCTTTCATATTTTTATTGTCCATTGTCTGAAGATGTGCTAAGCCTTCAAAAATGTGGGGTGCACATTTCGCCCATAATGATGTGAATCAGATGGTCATCTCAAGAATTAGCTTTATCCAAAAATGAAATTATTTTGAATCTATGGCTGTGTCTATCTACAAGTGTCATGAGTAATGCAGTAAACTATCTCCAGTTTATTACAGCTGTCACCAATGTATTACATATATATAATGCAAAATAAATAATATTTTTTAAATTCATCCCATATTATTATTTGCAGTAAATCGTATACCAAAATCAGAAGCTCAGTGGCAGACTGCAAGAAAAAAGGGGAAAAATTGCCAAAACCAAAAATGAAATAAGAAATTTATATATTTCATAGTATCATCATCAGGGTGTTGATGCAACAAAAAAAGTAGATAAATCAGTCTGTTTGTGAGCCATCAAGCATGCTTTAATTTTTGCTTCATGAAAAAGGTTTAGGATATCTATAAAATGAAATAAAATGAAAGTTTAACATTGTTCAGATTATGTTTTGTGTTTATTTATTATGATCTGTTCAGATTACTTTGTTATTACTGTTCAAATTACTTTGTTCAGATACTCATTCAGAACACCTACATAACAAAATAAAATGTTCTTCAAAGTATCATGTAAGAGTAGTCATTGTACTTCATAAATTCAATGAAACCAAATAAAATCTTATGCAAATAAAGTGCTGTTGAAATACATTAATAGTTTAGCTTCATTTTGACCAACAATGCAGTATAATAGAAGCTCTGTTGACCAGGCCAACTGAGATCTTTGTGAACTCAGCTGGTAATCATTTAAAAAAATAATTGGAAAAATCTAGAAAGGGTAACATTCACATGAAAATGGAAAGCAGCACTAAGTGACAATTAATTTGTATGCATGTTCCAAAGGTTAAAAGATGTTGTTTTGTAGCAGATAAATGTAGAAAACAGCAAACCATATTTTCATATTTTTAGTAATGAAAGAATAACGTTTGGTGCAGATTCAGAGAACAATAAAAATTGCTGTAATGCTGTGGTTGACGAAACAAAAAGTATGAAAATTAGAATGCCAAATTCTTAGTTTGGGTTTGTTTTGGTTATGGTAAAGCACAAAGGGTTTTCCTACATAAAAGGAAGGATACCTTTGTGGGAGACATTTTAATTGATATTGCATATAGGGAAAACCATGAAAATTTCTATATAGCCAGCCCATAAGATGGAATTTAGATCCTGGTTGTACTGTTAGTACTCAGCAGTTATACCACTCAGCCTCCAATAGACACTGAAGGCTTGAGCAAAGCTCTGTAATATTTAAAGCAATGTCCTGATGTCTCTCCTGTGGATCATTTTTTGATTAAAAAAAAAAAAACTTGCCCATAAGGTTGCATGACAATCTGTGGTTGTTATAGAGTATAGGTCTCTCACAAAATGCTGATATCATTAAAAAAAAAAAAAAAAAAAAAAAGATTGTTTCATTAAAAAAAATACATGTAGAAATTTGACAAAATTTTACAAATTGCATAAATTTTAAGAGTTTGTTTAATCCAGTTTTTAGATATTTTTTTGAAAAAATATTGTTAGATTAATTATTAATTTAAGAAAACAAGTGAAGTAAAATAAATAAGAGGGTTAAAAGAATAATAATTGTAATTTTGCACTTATTTTTAAAACTTCAAATAAATATTTTCAGACAACCTTGTCAAAATAAGAGTTGGCATGATTTAAAATTTAGTCGCTATTAAGCAGGTTTTCTGTTATTCAGAGTAATTATGTTAATTACCTTGACTAATGAAGGTTCTATTGTATTACCTTTTGCCCAGGGCCAAATTAAGACTTTTAGAAGCCCTAAATATTTGAAAGATTTTGGTGTCCACACATATGTTTATTCCAGTTTTTCTTGATTTATTCTTTGATTTATTTTTTGATTTAGCTGCACCATGCATTCTGTTGTAAAACTGACAATGTTCTAAAACTGCATTCTGTTGTAAAACTGGCAAATTTTGGGTGGCTCCCTTTCTTGGTAACCTAAGGACCTTTTTGTTGACCTTGATGCCCTAAGCACGTGTTTGTTTTATTTAATGGTTAATCCAGCCTTGCTTTTGCCACCCAGATGGAATAGTGGACAGTGTTATTGACTGCAATACTAAAGGCCCAGGTTTCGAATCCCAGAGAAGGCATGGATGTTTGTAAGTGTATAGTGCCTGCAAGGGTCATGCAAAATACACAGCAAGCTGAAGTTGAAAACTAAAATCCTCTCAAGAGGTCAGTGATAGGAGAAAAGGTATGGGAGGCCCTTGGACTGCTTTACAAGGGGCTTTCCCATGGAGTTCCATCTGGGGTGGAACCTTAAAAGTTAGCAAGGCTCGATAATATCTAAGATGTCAAAATAGACATATAGGTACAGTCCTTGCTTCAACCAGTACCTGTATATATCTTTTACTGAAACATTTCTACCTTTTTTTCTCTTTCTCTGTCTGTCTTTTGATTTAGAAAGATTTGTTCCAGTCTATTTGTTAGTTTCATATTATTAGGCCTTAAATATATATTATCTTTTTTGTTTGTTTGTTTGTTTGGGGGGGGGAATAATGATACTGATTTTTGTATTGGGAAAAGCATCTATACAGACCGTTATTTTCTTATTTAGTTATAAAATCAGAACAAGCAATCATATCTGTAAATAAATATAAAATTATTTTAGATTGAACTTGAGAATTTTCTTTCTTTGTGTATTGGTTTATTGTTGGAGTCCATCTAAACTTTGTAGCTAGCATACTTTACCGAATTTTGAAAAATGCAAGGGTGTTTGGTTAAACATACAAAAACATACAATGTAATTTGTGAATGATATTTAAGATCTTTTCTAAAGCTATATTTTGTTTAAAAATATGATTTATAGATGTTTATTTTTGTGTTTATCTCTGTATGCAGTTAAGATTTTCATCTTAAAATGGAGTAGAATTTAGATTTTCTTCTTAAAATGGAATGGAATTAAAATATGTGCAGTATAGAAAGTATGAACATAATTGCTTGCATTAGTAAATAATTTAATTTTTTTCTCGTTAGCAAAACCTTCTAGATTGAATCAAAAGCAGCGAGAACCAGATGAGAATATCCGAGCCAATATGAAACAGTATGGATTTGAATCTCAGTACCTAGATGTAATTGTTTCAGATGCTGCACTTCCATTATGGAGAATGCCATCATTTTTTGATGTCATAATTACAGATCGTATGACTTTCATTTTTATTATTTATTCATTTTTAAAATATGCAGTAAATCCCTCTCAGTGATCACTTTGTTGATATGATTGCCTGTGAAATACATCATTAGGTCTGAGGACATCAATAATATTATTCAGCATCACTGATAATCATGTTTGTAAGGATGGCAAAAGAAACTTTCCTAGTGAAACACAGCATACATGATCAACTTTACATGCACTAGTGGGGACTATCAGACATTTGCATATTATGAATTTTTTGTGAGTTGCATATGAATAAGACTAGAAGCCAAGATTTTGTATAAGCCTTGAGATTTCTAGCCCTGTTTGCATTTATCTTTTTAATTTATATTTTAATGATTCTAACATTTGAAAAGAGAAATTGCTAGATCTCTTTTATTGTAGCACAAAATATGTCAAATAATTTTTTTTTTTTTTTTTTTTGGTAAATATATGCCAAGCGAGATTCGATGGGAAATGCAATGATACTTTTATTATCAGGTCTTTTTGACTATGGTAAAAATTTTCTTAACATAAAAAGAAATATGTCTCATAGGTTAATTATATCAATAAATGAAGGACAAAGTAGACTGACACACTTTAAAAACTTTTGATTACTATAGTTACATTGAAAATTTAAAAAAAAAAAAAAAAAATTGTTAAGAGATAAAGGTGGGAAGGAAAAACAACATTTATTTATGTGGCATGGTGTATATCTTCAGTAGAAAAGTTGTGTGTCCGGTCTTAGAGAAATGTTTCAAATTAATTTAATTTTTAATAGGCAATATATTTTTAATTCTAGTAATTATAAAACAAAAGATATTGTTTTATCATTCATATGCTTTATTTTTAAAACTAATGAAATTTTTATAGCAAATTAAATCTTCTCTTTATTCTATTTAAGAATTTAACACAAGAAACCATTGTCAATAATTGAACCCATAATATAGGACATAGAATTAATGAGAAAAGATTAATAGAAACTTGAGGCAAGTCTCTATGGCATTATTTGATTATGGTCAATGGATGTTGAATTTACCGAAAAGCAATTTGCATGAAGTAAATAAAGCAAAGCGCAAAAACTCTGATTTCAATTAAAACAACTTTTGATAATTGGAAAAACCGAAAAGTATTTAATAAAGGGAAAAGCTAAAACCAGAAAAGTTAACAGGTAATTTATTAGAAGAGAAACTGCTGTGATTTATGTTTAACGTCTAAATTGAAAACCTCAAAATTTAGTAAAAATGTTGGAAAGATATCTGTGGTGTTAAAATATAATTTAAATTCCACATTTCTCATATATTTAGTAAAATTTAAAGCGAAAGTGAAGTCTTTGGTTTATATATTGTAGCGTAGTTTGTTATTCGTAAAGCAAATCAAAATATTTTGTACTAGTAGCCTTTTTTCCCCCCTCTATGTTATATGTATTTTAACAGTAAAAAGTGTTTGCATAAATTATGTAAACTGTATTTAAGAAATTAAAATAATTTAAATTTCTCTCTTTTAGCTCCTTATGGAATCAGAGAACCCACTGAGAGGATAGGTACAGAGAAAGATTATAAAATACCTGATCATTTGTAAGTTGGAAAAAAATCTATAGATGTCATAAAGAATTCAATAAAAAATTTCCCCACAGTGAGATAAATTTGTATTTGATTTTAACTTTTCTCTTTAGAGCTACCAGTCATATTCCGTCAAAGGTTACATACAGTTTACAAGATATTATTGAAGATTTACTGGATTTTAGTTCACAATTTTTAAAGCTTCATGGTCGTTTAGTTTATTGGATGCCTGCATTTAATGAAGAGTAAGTAAAGAAAAAACATTAGTAAACTGGACTGATGCATTTTACATACTTTATATTTATTAATCTTTATTGTTATTTGAGAGTGTGTTTCTTATGAATTAATTGTACAGTGTTTGAAATAATTTGTTTTTATATCAGTCACATTTTTAACATGTAAAAATCTGGTTTTGCATTATGCAAGATTCATTTTAATTAAACTGATTTCTTTTTTAAAATAGCTGTTTTTTAATTTTAAAGCCTTAATAATTTGATATTTTAAATTTTAATTTGAAAATTATCTGCTATTTTACACATAGATTTCTAACACTCTTATAATAATCAGAGTTTTTTTTCAGCCTAAATATTATTTGTACATATTGTTGTAGCATTTAGTTAAATAAAGAAGAGGACTGAATATATTAACTACTGTCTCAGTTACTTAATGAGCTATTAATCACCTTGAAGGAAAACGTTTTGACAGGTTTATTGTTTTCATTTTGTGGATTTTCATGACATGGCAAAATGCTGTTATTTAGATTTCATGACTTTCAGAATATATTCAGTCCAAAGTCTTAATAGGAACCATAATCGTATGATCTATAATCGGCCTCAAAACAAAACTTTCTGCGCATGCGCCGCGTGACACAGCTCATAGGCGCTTCGCGCGCGCGTAAGACCTTTTCTACTGCGATTAGTGTGCGCAAGTGCAGCAATACGTTTTTCGCGTGCGCTTTTATGTAAATGTCTATAAGCTACATTCTCTATATCTATTTCGTAAGTTGATGATTGCTTGTTCTTAATTTCGAATTGGATCCGTCGTATTTTTTTTGCATACTGTAGAGCAAGTTTAATAATAACTTAACTTTCGATTATATCAAATAGAATTCCGATATTATTGTTAAAGTCAAGATTAAGCGAAGTTGTTTTGAAATCCGAAATCTGTTTCTCAATTTCACGCTGCTCGCGGAGGAACGCCGCGCGGCGGCGCGTAAGATTGGAAGTTAGCTGTCAGCACTATCCTTATCTGCAGGCAGCTGTTTTTATTTTATTGCTTATAATGAAGATCAGATTTTTTATTTTATTGGCTATAATTCCTACAAATTATTTTTCATTCGATATGCTCCGTCTTGTATGATTTAAAACAAGTTCCTCGTATTAGAGTCGCTTCGATAGCGAAAAAAGTAACAGAGGTATTGAAACGGAAAATGTCGATTGACAAATTAGTCGTGTTCTTGACACAGCAATTATAGACTTGAACACGGAACTTTCTAACTGACAAGAATTATTCGTTTATAGAATAAAAGAAAGTATTCACATGAAACGAAGCAAAACTTAAACAACTTCATTGAAAAATGGTTATTTAATAAACAAATAATATTAAGCTTTTCTTTTTGTAAATTTTTATACCGTTAGTCATAATTGTTCTTTTCTTTCATAAATTACGGTATCTATTTTTAATTTTAGATTTCTGCTGCCATCCTACGAGATTTAAACTGATGATCTATAATCCGGAAAAATCGATAATCCGGAATCGCCGAAGTCCCGACGAGTCCGGATTAACGACTTTTGACTGTATTTCCCTCAAGTTTTGCCAATTGAGAGAAATATTTGTTTCAAGCCTCATGTGAAAATGAAATAAATGCACAGCTGCATATTGTATAAATAAATCTATATTTAATAAAATAATAAATAAAAGGACAAATTGCTATGTTTCATTAATTTATGATGAAATAATAAACGCATACTTTTCTTATCATTTACTTCCATTTAATATGGATTTCAAATTAATTTAATCTTGGTACAATTTCTTTTTAATATCATGATTTTTAGACTTTTTAATTAAAAAAAGAATTTTAACTTTAAACTCTTTGAGGTGTTAAATAGTAATTTGAAGTTTTTAGATAGTCTTGTTAATTATTATTTCTTATAGGGAAATGTTTTTTGATCCATTAATTTCTATTATCACCCCCCCCACCAAAAAGTCAAAATCTTTAGGGTTTCAAGATAAATATAGAATTTCAATATAACAAAAGCTTGTATGAAGACAATATATATATATTTATATGTGTAAGATTAACTATCTGATGTTCTAGGTCAGAGTAGTTTTACTATTTTACACAAAGCATTTATATTCACATACAGTACAAGTCTGTACCGGAAGATCTATAATCCGGACCTCAAAGCCACAAACTTACCATGCGGTTGACCACGATGCACGTAAGCCCAGTAAAGCGATTGCACATCGATAGTGAAGAATGACAGAGAGGTATTGAAAACGAAAATTTTGTTGACAATTAGTCGGTATTCTCGACACAGCATTACAGGATTTGAACAGTTCAACATTGTAATTGAACAAGAAATTATGTTTTTATGAAGAGAGAATTAGAGCACAAAAAGCAAACTAACAACTTGCATTGAAATAAATGTTTAATAAAGTAACAATAATATTAAGCTTTTTTTTTTTTTTGTAAATTTGATGTCCTTTAGGATATAATTGCTCTTTATTTCATAAATTATGGTTTATATTTTTATTCTATAATTTCTGCATGCCATCTTACCAGATTTAAATTGATGATCTATAATCCGGAATCACCGAAGTCCTGATGAGTCCGGATTACGGACTTTGTACTGTATTACTTATTACATATTTTAAAACAAACTTATATTGTTACATTTAGCCATCCTTTACCTTTATTTGGGGAGGGTTATGGCAACACTACGGTAAAAATTAAAAATTTTTATCTCCACTGTGTGAGACTGTGTATTGGAAATTGTAAAGATGTGCTTTTTTAAAATTATTTTGTGATATTGCTGTTGAACTGAATTTTATGATTTAAGTGCGAAGAACATGATATTTAATAAAGGTAACACACAAAATGTCAAAAAAAAAAAAAGGCCTCTTGGCCATAATATAAAATCTGAAAGCTTTCAGTTCCCCCTTGTTATTGTATACATCTTAAAATAATGGCATCTTGAAGAACCATATGTCTTTATGTAGAAGTCAGAAAGTTATTTTCTGTTTTTTTTACAAATTTATTTTTACAAAATATTTATTTTTTATCTTTATTATTGGTGTTTAATTTTGTGCAGGTTATGAAAAATTGTCCAGTTTTTATCTGCATTAACGTTTTTATTTGCATTATATCTTTTGTATGATTTATATTTTTGTAAATGCTAGTTAAATAAGCTGTCTCTGACAGTACAATCGCTGTCTTGTCTTATTTACAATCTGTTAATTTACTGCTGATTTTTCACTCTTTTGTTCCTACATCTTTAATTAGCATTAATTATTTTATCTTTAAATAGCATTAATAAAATATTCCTCCATTTTTGTGTATCTTATTTAGTGTTTATGTAATTTAGTTTGGGTTTAAATGACTGTTACCACATAATATTTTTACCATTGAAATAATTAACTGAAATGATTGCAGTAAATATAATACACAAATTTTGGTCTATTAAAAACTCTTTTGATGCATATTTCATACATTTTCCAAGATACTTTTAGGGATAATGTATTTTTATAGTAACTCACGTCGAATCAGTTCTAGACTGAACTATGTGAAAAGCTATTTCTGCTGTTTGTTTATGATATTTTTCATAATTCCACCTGATTAATTATGTTTAATGACAGTTTTTACTTAAAGTGCAACTTATGTATAATTTAGTACACTCTATTTTGTTGTTAATGCTAGCTTATTCTTTTGTGATGGTATTACAATTTTTCTTTTCTTTTAGTTTTGACAAAAAAAAGTTACCATATCATCCCTGTTTAGAATTAATCAGCTGCTGTAAACAAGCTTTGACTGGTCATTCATCTCGTTACCTCATCACAATGGAAAAAATAAAGGAAAATGTAAGTTTAAAACTGTGTATTTTATTGCTTTCAATATAATTCATTTTCATTTAAATCAATTTCTTTCAATTCAGATTTCAAATTTCTTCTTCCCGTTCTTTTTATTTATAAAACTTTCACCCTTTCGAGGTAACGCACTGTTGTTTCAGACATTCCCTGAAGATGGATAGGAGTCAAAGGGAATCATCTGACAAGATCTGGGTTTTGCATCGCTAAGCCTAACTTTAGAAAAAGAAAAAAAAAAAAAAAGGAAAAAAAAATCGCACAAAAAAAGTTTTTAGTTCTAACATCATAATATTTGGCACCATTTTATATTATTACTTAAACTGTCATATCAGTTAAAATTAGCATTTAATAACCTTTTTCCGTTACTTTACATGAAAATATATATATATAAAAACCTTATTTAGAAATAACTTTTGGAAGCTCTATTCAAATTATGCCAAGGTTTTAATTGATGAAATAGGAAGAAAGACTATTTACCGGGAGAAGAAACAAAATCTTTCACAGGAAAGGGAAGGCGGGCATCCAGTAAGCTCAATCTCTGATAAAATGTCCATATCAGAATCACTAGAAATATCACTTTCTAACTCTTTAGAAAATTAATCATCACTCCATCCATGTCACTAATTGGCTCATTTGCCATATGTCTATATCTTTCTTTTGTTAAATAACGCTTGCTTACCATAATAAACTGAAATCAAGGCTTTCCAAAGTAAAAAGGGAAGTACACAAAATATAAGCTATAAAAGTAATGCTAAGCTTAACAGAGCCTTGCAGAATAAACCTATACATAGTAGCGAGAAAAAGAATTAAAAAATGGATTCAAAGGGAAAGAAGAAGAAATCGAAGAAACACAAATGTTTACATCACATGGCGAGTTAAAGGGCCAAAATCTGTTTGTTTACGTTACACTTTCCTTCCTCTCCCACAACAGCAGATACGAGAGTTAGGCAGAATGTGATTAAACTGAAGGTCAGAATCCTAAAAGTATGTTCAGTTCAAAAATAAAAAACGCAGGACAGTATCTGGTGGTCTTTAAAAATTGGTTTAGCTTAAAATGCACATATGCATCACTCATCCTTAAGCTCATTCTCAAGTGATGCATGGCTGGGATACCTGGCTATGGGAGACGTTCATAGGGAATGCATATATGGGATATCCGTCAAGAAAGAGTTAATACCACTTGTTGCAAAATTTAGTGAATGTTGTTCATGTATTCAGTTTTGACATACACTTTGCCTTCCTTTTTCTTAGAATGCTTTTTACCCTTATTCAATTTTTTTATGCTGTGCATAATTATTATATAACATAAGATTATAAAGATGGTTTACTTTCACAAAATGAAGAATAAAAGGAAAAAAATTAATGCACAAAATTTAATGCTCTGAGAAAAAGTATAATAAAAAAGATCCCTAAAATGGAGTTCCGATCAATTCATTTTTACACCAGTAAAGTGTAATATCAGGTTTCAGTGTTATACCTTGTGAAATCAGTATGCCTAAAAAAAATATATTTCTTCTGAACTGGTTGAATGCCACGATTTTATTCTTGATTTTTCGTTTGCAAGGTGTTGGTCCATATACTCGTCTACAAAACGGTTAGCTTCAGTAACAATATGAAGCAAAAGCAGTTCATCAAAAAACGATTCAAAAAAGATAAATGTGTTTGAAACATCCGTTATATCTTTCTTATTCCTGGACCTACTACAAAAAGTAAATGAAAACGAAGAACACAGAATAAAAAAATACGTTTTACTCAAACAACGCCAAGCCAATACCGCGCAGTCCTTACTTTCACCGCTTTAGACACACCCCTCTCTCCAATTTCTCCCCACACTTCTCTGAAATAGTATCACCCTTCGCATACTTTGTCAAGGTCATTGTGGTGTTGCATTCCAAAGCTTTGCGAATAATTTTACGGGTAGCAGCACAAAGCAAATGATAGAAGTTTGGAAGGGTGTATATATACGCAGGCGTATATATACAGGCAGTTAAAGCATCGGCTGAGCAAGGCATATATATATGCCCGCAGCAAGTGAGGGGTTAAATGAAAGTAATTAATAATATATCTCCTGGGGGAAGTGCAGTTGTTCAGATTCTATTATGACAGAAATATTTGTTAGATATATTTCAGTATTTTAAATTTGTTTATTTATCTAATTTTCTTAGAATCATCCCCTTTCCATGATCTGTTGGTGATCTGCAATTAAGAGGCATTTTTTACAATCAATGACACCTTATACACTAAGAAATACAGTATTTTATTTCTCTGTGATAGAATGAAAGCATGATAGTATAAAAACATTCGACAGATAAATAAAAAAATCTGATGTGTACACCACATGACTTCCTTCTACGGAATATTAAATTATATGCATTTTTTCTTGCATTTCATTTAAATTTATTGGATTGAATTAAATCTACTTCTACGCATAAACCACAATAGAATAAACGCATTCTTTAAAATTCACTCTAGTATTTGTTCACCATAGCGACACTGGTGCTAGATTTTTTCATTAATACCTCTGAAATGCGAGATATTTCTTTCATATTATAACTAATAATGCACAAAATTTATAACATTTAAAGAATAGAATTATCTAATCGTTGCCACATATTCTATTCAAATACTATAATAAAGCTAGAATGATGTTATAAAAGAATTAAGCAAATAAAACAAAAAAAAGAACAGTTTTTTAACAACGATTGAGTATTTTCATTTAATTAATTCAGTTCTCACTTCACGAGAAGGCAAAAAATAATAAAAATCAAAATATCTATAAAAAATTACGAAGTAAATCTAACGCTTATTCCTTGAAAAAATTCCATAAAGCATTAAGCATGATTTAAAATGGCAATAATAAATGAGGCGTTATCTTTGTTGTTGCGAAGCTAAGTTTCTCTAGATGGCAACAAATCCACTAGTCTGCAGTTTCAAATGTAAAACAATCATGGCCGCCATAAAAAAAAGGCTAGCGGCACTTAAACAACTTTAAAATTGTTGATAATTCTAAAAATATGCATACAGATTTACTAAAAGGCATAAAAACCTAACCAGAAAGATGAAAACAACATAATTCATCATTTTAAAGCAAAAAAAATGTACAATTTACAAACATATAAGTAAAGAAACTGCGAGAAAATAATAATTCGTTTTGAGTTATGCGAGATACGTACGTACGCACGTACATACATACCTTCATACAGACGCCACCAAAATTCTCTCAGAATTATTTTAAAGCAGTTTTATATTTTTTGGGGAAACGAGTCTTTTATTCTGTCCTTACGTACAGATATCACGCAAAAACATCGTTAAATTGCATTCGATAGTAGTCAAAATGGATATTTTCGTTGAAATATGCTGCCTGAAACTTTTTGCGATTACAATACTTCCTTTTTACTTCGTACAAGGAAGTAAAGACAGTAGTTTTTATGAAACATTTTAATGAAACTGAAAATATGTAAAATAATTGGAAAATGTCAAAGTAGGAAGCTGAAGATTTGTGTTTCTTTCCCTGTTATACGAGTAATTCTAGGTAATTAAAATTCTAACTTGTATATAATTATCATCATCATCTGAAGTATTTTGAAATTTTATTTTATAGGTAAATGCTGCAGAAAAGGCTTGTGTTCCTGAAGCTGCCTTGTCTTTCCGGAAAAAGTATTTCGAAGCGCACAAAAAGAAATCTTTTTTTTAAATGTGAATTTATATATGTTTATATATTTTTTAAATAAAATATCATTTTACAAGGCTTTGTTAATGTTATTTAAAGAAGCTGTCACTGATAATTGTTATTAAAAGCCTTTGAATTTTTTATATAAGGCAAAGTACAGGGCAGTCATAAAAGAAATTTTCGTACTCAGAGCATTTTAATTTTGTCCAAGTATCACAACACTAGGAACCTTGTATTGTATATTGTGTACAGTCAAAAGTCGTTAATCCGGACTCGTCGGGACTTCGGCGATTCCGGATTATCGATTTTTCCGGATTATAGATCATCAGTTTAAATATGGTAAGATGGCATGCAGAAATTACAAAATTAAAAATATGAAACTGTCATTTATGAAATAAAGAACAATTATGATCTAAAGGGTATCAAAATTTACAAAAAGAAAAAGCTTAATATTTATTTGTTTACTTTATTAAACATTTCGTTCAATGTAAGTTGCTTCGTTTCATGTGATAATACTTTCTCTTTAATTCTATTAAACAGACATAATTTCTTCTTTAGTTTACAAAGTTCCGCTGTTCAAGTCCTATAATTGCTGTGTTGAGAATACCGACTAATTTGTCAATCGAAATGTTTTCGTTTTCAATAACCTCTGGGTCACTTTCTTCACTATCGGAAGCGAATTATAATGACGATGAACTTGATTTAAATCATATCAAAGACAGAATGAAATACTACACTTAGTATGGAATTATAAACCAAATAAAAAACATCTGCCCTGAAGATAAGGATAGTGCTGACAGATCAACTTCCAATCCGCCGCGTGAAATTGATAAACAGATTTCGGATCTCAAAACATACTTTCGCTTTGTAGATACAAATTACATATTAGTAAATATATATCGGAAATTCTATTTGACATAATCTTTATAATCTATCATAATCTAATAATGACGTTTCTGCCCCCCCCCTGCCGCAGAGCAGCGTGAAATTGATAAACAGATTTCGGATTTCAAAACATACTTTCGCTTTGTAGTAAATATATATCGGAAATTCTATTTGACATAATCGAAAGTTCAAGCTTACTTTTATAAAATTGCTCTAACAGTCTGCAAAAAATAATAAGCCGGATCCAATTCGAAGATTAAGGAACAACGCAATCGGCAACATTAACTGAATTAGATAACTTTAGCTTAGCGTATAACTCCGTTACAATTTAATTGCGCATGCGCACAAACATATTCGCAGCCGTAAGGGTCTTACGCGCTCTCGTAAATGCCTGTGCGCATGCGTGAACGCTACGCATGCGCAGAAAGTTTGTAGCTTTGAGGTCCGGATTATGGGTGTCCGAATTAACGACTTTTGACTGTATTACCATATTTCCTTGCATATTTTCCCCTCTTTTTAAACTAATTTTACCATCCAAAAATCAAGAGGGGAAATTTCTGCAAAGATGAGAGATTTACAGAAAGAAAAGAAGAGAGATTTAAAGAAATGGATAAGAGCGATTACTCTGATGTTAAAGATCACTCTGTTGCACAAATTGATGTTTTTAAATTATTTAAAGCATTATTCTGATGTAAGCTGTATTCATGCAGTGTGTAAATTGACCTGTATTGTTTCTTTGTTATTCATGACTTCTTGTTTTTGTCATGTTTTTTAAGTCTTTGTTTATTAATTTTTCAGTAAATTTTTAACTCTTTGGTGATTTTTTGAGCTAATTTCTGTTTGAATTTCTTAAGGATGTGGTTACATTAACAATATATAAAATGAAAAGTATTCATGGATAAACTATAGTTAAATTTCACAACATTATTTCATTAAAAGAATCCCAGATTGCAATATGACTACAGAGTAATATTAACATTCCAATATCTTAAAAGGTATTTTAATTTCTTCTTATCTGTTATTTGAATCTCTCATTCTTATTGCTGTCTCTGCTCACCTTATTCCTGAAATCAACCACGCATCATTAGACAAGGTGAATATGCAGCTGAGTGAAATCATTGATGAATGTCAGTTTGTGTTTGCTGGGCTATGAATGGTCGATTCTTGTATTAGGCTGGCATAAAGTTCAGTATTTAGAAGGGAAATGTTTGATGAGACCTTTGCACGTAACTTACAAGGGTTTGCTTTTATTAGTAAGACAAAAACAATTATTAAATGAATGAATCCATTTTGAAATTTAGGAAGCTTGTTCTCTGAATGCATTGAGGAAGGGGGAATTTTTTTAAATTTCCAGATACATAATTTTAAAATTTTTCAGAACCTGACTTTGAGAATCTGACAGGGGAATATGCAAGGAAATGCATTAATTAAGGTGTGGATAAGGGATTAACTGGGAGGGGGAAGAAGAGAAATTAATGCGAAAAATTACTTAAAGGGGATGCAATTTTTAACACTTAGATAAACCTGCAAAATGTTCTAGAGAAATTTGTTTTTATTCTGACCCAAATGAATATGAGTCAGATATTTCCTCTTTCTGTAGTCTTTTGAAATGAACATCAAAGGCTTTAGTTGAATACAGTTGATCTAGTGTTCCTTTTAGTAAATAATAATGTTACTTTTAGTAACTCCAATACTTTAGTAATAACTTAGCAATAGAAACAACACAGTGCTGGTTTCAAATGCAAAGACATTCAGTTTGCAAAAGAAAATGAAAATCGTACTGCAACAAGATGTTTAGTGTTGGTGAAAGATGAAATGGAAGATGATTACTTATTTATGGATCAGAGTAACAAAGCTGGTGAATATGAAAGAGAATTCATTGTTGGGTATGAAGATATAACCGAAGATGAAAATGATAGAATTTACATGTTTATGCAATAATGAAAAATTTTTAAACTTCATAAGTTATGTCATTTCTTTTAAATAAACAACATTTAGGTACATGTAAAAATCTAATTTTTGTATGCTGATTTTTTTCGTAATTTTTAATCTATCATTTTTATATCTGGTGTATAACACAGACATGTGAATTTCAGTCATTATTTTTTGTATTAAAAGTGTTCAAAATTAAGAGAATTTTTGTATATTGTCTATAATCTCCAGAACTATGGATATACACTGGTGTGCAAAAATTAAGGACGAGACGGTTTTTTTCAATATAACTTTGTACAAAAGCTTTCCAAATCAACACATTTAATACCGTAAGATCACCAATACGTAGGACATGAGTATGTAAGCAACATTACTAAAGGAGAAATCAGGGATAAAAAGAAGCTTTATTGAAAAAGTAGCATGGAGCGCAATGCGACTGAAGACCGAACATCCCTGTGATGGGTCCAGCAAGAAACATCCGGTCTTTAATAGGTGATATGATCTCCCCTGACTGCTCGGCAGGTTCACAGCGTCTGCCCATGCTGAAATGAGGCTGTCAGTGAGTTGTTGAGGCATTGCTGTCCATTCGTCTTGCAGCGCCAATCGAAGCTCCGGAATCGTTACTGGTGGTAAGGTACGAGCTGCCAAGCGTCTGCCTAGAAAATCCCATACATGCTCGGTGGATTGAGATCCGGAGATCGTTCGGCCAACCATATTCAATATCCTCACTCTCTAAGAGCTGTTCGGCAACTACTGTGCGATGACATGGTGCATTGTTGTCCATGAAAAGGAACTGCGGACCCATAGCACCTCTAAAAAAGATGCACATATGGAAGAAGAATCTCATTACAATAACGGGTCCCGTTGACTGAACCTGCGTCGAAGATGTGAAGGTCTGTACGACTACCAAGCATGATGCCTCCCCAAACGAGAACACCGCCACCTCCATACCTGTCCCTTTCAATGATGTTCGAGGGATGATTGCGGCTTCCCCGCTCTCTCCAGGTGAGTATGCGATGAGAATCACTACTCAGACTGAATCTGCTCTCATCTGTAAAGAGTACTCGTCCCCATTCATTGTCTCTCCAATTCCGGTATTCCCGGCACCACAGAGAATGCCTTCTCCGATGGGCAGGCGTTAGAGGTACACACCGTACAGGGCGTCGTGCAAACAGACCACCACCGTGCAGTCTTCTGGCCACGGTGAAACGCGATATCGGTCGTCCAGTCGCCTGTGTCAGGTGTCTAGCGATTTCTCCCACTGTCTGCCGCCTTTTTCTTCTGGCCTGTAAAGCAATATACCGGTCATCTGCGGGTGTGGTTCCTCGTGGACGACCACTACTAAACCCCCGAATAGCTGTTCCTGTAGTTTGAAATTGTCTCCAAAGTCATGAAACGATGCTGTGAGCAATTCCAAACTCTGCAGCCACACTTCTCACACTGCGGCTTTCCTCCAACTTCCCAATGATTCGACCTCGGGTAAAAGCATCCAGATGTCGTCTAACAGATTGATTATTCGCCATTTCTCGCTGAGGCAGCACTCGGTGTGATTTTAACTGCTATACGGCGTGCAATCTCTTTGCCAGAAATACTGATCTTACACCAACAACATGCTTTATACTACTCAGACACTCCCCATTACGTCTACCTGCATATCTGCGCATGTACTACCGTACATCACCTTACTTAATCTCCTGATTGGTCTTTCTGTCCGCTCTGCCTCTTCCTTCAGCTGTTATGCTAATTTTTGGACTTCGTCCTTAAATTTTGCACACCAGTGTATTGTTGCATTTGTGTGGATTCATAATAGATTGAATGCACACACAACCGATGATAGCTTGATAAAATTTATTTTTTCAAAAGAAACACTTTACAGTTCTGAAACTTTCCATAAAACTGCTCGTACAGATCTTTTCAGTATCTTAGAGCACAATCAGTAGTTACACTTCAAACTACTAAGAATGTTAAGCACAATGCAGTGCTAAGCACATCGAAAAGGCAAAGCTTTGACGAATCTCAATACAAGTTCAACTTTGAACTAGCAGCTGAGAGCAGATACTCTTTCCGGTCTCATAAAGTTTTCAACCAGCCACTGGAAAATCTCTAAATTTCATTTCTCAAAATTACTGGAAGGCATATACAGTTAAAGTTACATCTAAGGACTGGATACGGTTACAGTTGCATATCTAGATTAATTACATTTATTGAATCACTGCTAATTAGTTATCCATGGACCGGACCAAAATGTCGGCACAAAGTTCG